CTGTCTGTTTGCCTGTCTGTTTGTCTGTCTCTCTTTATGTTTGTATGTTTGTCTGTCGTCTGTTTGTCTTTCTGTCTCTCTCTCTTTCTCTCTATATATCTATTTCTCGACCTCTTTCCTCCCTCCCTCCCTCCCTCCCTCCCTCCCTTTCTCCTCCCTCCCCTCCCTATCCCCTCCCTCCCTCTCCCCCTCTTCCTTCCTCCCTACCTCCTTTCCCTCTTCCCCCCTCTTTCTCCCTCCCACCCTCCCCTCCCCTCCTTCCCTCTCCCTCCCACCCTTCCCTCCCTCCCTCCCTCCCTCTCCCTCCCTCCCTCCCATCCTCCCTCCTTCCCTCCCTCCCTCTCCCTCCCTCTCCCCCTCTTTCTCCCTCCCCCCCCCCCCCAATCTCTCCCTTTCACTCCCTCCCTGTAAATAAACATGACGGCCTCTTCATCACTTTAATGATGAAGAATACGGTGTACGGTTGAAGATAGCTCAATAAATCTTGGGAGATTGGCTGAATTATCTTTAAGGAATGGGTGTGGAAATATAGGCCTATATTTCTTGGAAAGGAAAAGAGAAATAATATATTTATTTTATTATCATTATTATTATCTTCTTTTTTACATATTTATTTATATTTTTTTAAACTTATTTTTATCTTTATTTTTATTTATTATAAATTTGCAAATTTAAAGAATGTTTATTTTTCTTTTTTTTATGGCCACGTGTTGTGATTTTGTTTTTGTTGTTGGTGGTGCTTCTATAGTTATTATATGATGGTGATGATGATGATTGATTGTTAAATGATGGTAATGATGATAATGGTCGTTATCATGTTGGTAAAGGTAATAATAGCAATATTAAAGCTAAAAATGATGATTATACGAAGAAGAAATAGAAGATAGTAGTAGAGATAACAACAGTAATGATTGTAACGATGTATGACATATTATATTAGAACAAACGTGTAGAATAAACTACAAAGACAAATGAAAAAATAGAAAAAAAATATTACAGAATATGTAGAAAAAACAAAACAAAAAATGACCAGAACTTTAACCACACTCTAAGTGAATTTTCGAGAAGAATATAAGAGAAGTGACACGTCTTTAGAAGAAAAACAAATAAATTGGGTAAAAAAGATATAGAGAAAATATAGAATATCTGTAAAGGAAGCGTAGAAAGGTCATAATATAAGGGATTTTACGAACCAGAGTAGTCAGTGTAAGGGAGGCAAAGAGTAGATAAGATAAGATTAACGAAAAAAGGAAAGGAAAAAAGAAAAGGTAGTTTTGGATGTTGCTATCCCACGATGTCGCGAAAGACAGGAGATAGAAAAATAAAATGATTTGGGAAAAAACAGCGAGAAATGAAAATAGATTGAGATAAAGTGCTTAGAGAAAATAAAAGCAATTGAAAAGATGCAGAGGAGACAAGGGAAATGTCCAGTGGAAACGGAAAGAAGCAGGCAAGAAAGTAAAAGATCTAAAAAAAAAGAAAAAAAAAAGGAAAATGTGCAGTAGAAATAAAATCAGAAAAATGCCCGAGGGTGAAAGAAAGAAACAGAAAAAAATGGAAAATGTGCAGTAGAAATGAAAATAGAAAATTGCCCGAGCGAGAAAGAAAGAAACAAAAAAAAAACTACATAAAGAAAAAGGAAAGAAAAAGAGAAAAAAAATCAAAGGAAATATATATATACTTTTCTAATCAAGGAAATAAAAAGAAAAAAAAACAAACAAACAGACAAACGTAAACAGAAGAAACAAAAGAAAAAAAAACAGACAAACACACCGAACACATAAAAAGCAAAACAAAAAAAAAAGATTACCCAAGAGAAATACAAAAAAAAAAAAAAAACACGAGAAGACACTCGGAAGACCTCGATCGTTCTCAAGACATAAAAAAAAAACACAACACGTAAGGAAATGTAATTCCACTGGTATTACGAACACGATAACGACACCAAGACACTTCACAAAGAGATTAGAAGACGCGAGAATAGAAACTTACGTTGTTGCATTGCAGGGAATTGCATTGCTCAACTCGGATCAGATTTCATGCTCATACTCTAAGTTAAAAAATATATACTTACTCATACTTTAAGAAAAAAAATTACTTTCAGGTGAGAATATGAGATTGAGTGATGAGGAGCGTTTGAGGATAATGATAGTTATGATGTAATAGTGATGATGGTAATGGTAATGATAGTAATAGTGATGATAATGGTGATGATAATGATAGTGATGATGATAATGGTGATGATAATGATAGTGATGATAATAGTGATGATGATAATAGTGATGATAATGGTGATGATGATAATGGTGATAATAATGATAGTGATAATAATAGTGATGATAATAATAGTGATGGTAATGATAGTGATGATAATAATGGTGATGATGATAATAGTGATGATGATAATAATGATGATAATAGAGATGACAATAATAGTGATGATAATAGTGATGATAGTGATAACGGCAAGATTGAAAATGGTATATTTACGTCTTAATTATCATGGTTAAAGTTATACCAATGAAGTAAAAGCAAATACACTGTATTGATAAACAGAAAAATAGTACACAGGAGATAAAACACAAAAATTTATAATAAGAAAGATTCAGTGATTTGGTAAAATTTCTAAATAGATAGAAGGAAAACTTTGGCAGGTAACAGGAAAATTTTGGCAGTTAGATAAATATTATGAGTAGATAGAAGGAAAATTTTAGTAGGTAGATAAAGCCCATAAAGAGACAGCGTGAAGGTTTAGTAGGTAGATAAATATAAGTAGATAAACGAACATTTTTAGGAGTTAGATTAGAAAAAAGACAAAAAAAAACGTGGGTTGATAGAAGGAAAATCTTAGTAGATAAAACTCAAGAGTAGATAGAAGCAAAATTTTTAAAGCCCAATAGGAGATAACATGAAAATTTATCAGGTAGATGAAAAGAAGTAAAAGGACATTTTTACCAGGTAGATAAAACAAGATAAGTAGATAGATAGAAAGAAAAATAGACAATACCCACAAACAAATAGTAGAAATATAGACATAGATAAAAACCCAAAAGTAGATATCAAAGAAGT